CCTATAAGTCCAACTTCAGCCACAGCTTTGATAAAAGAGGAAAAGTCTCTTCAGTGGAGCCACAGAAAAAAATAGAAACTAGCCAAAGGTTTTAAACCTTATCCCCCTACTCAAGACTTAACATGAAATTATGATTGCAGTCGGGTTTTAAGGTCAATCACACCCATCAGCACATGTGTACTTAGATGATCTCTGAATGAGTATTAGATGCCATGTATTCCATTCAATTGCAGTGTGAGAGTGGAGTAACATGGGAAAATGCATTTACCTAACAAAGGTTGCTAATATAAATGTATTATATGCAATTAAATATTGAGTTTCAATCAACGCATACATATTTGCTCACCACTTTTGTTTGCTTTTGATAGTTTAGGGAAGAGTTAAAATCCCTGCCAGTTCATTTGTTTTGCTATCCCTTCATGTCATGCTCCAGAAATGCAACAAGAGGTCAGGGGAAATATCCCAATGGAAGGAGAAATTTGTACTAACAGAAGGTGTCCCCATTGTAAGATTTCCCTCACCTTTTGTTCTAGGCACACCTTTAAAATTGGTAATTTTTCACTCAACCTCTCTCTTGGTGACAGTGGTCACCAGGACAAATATAGATGGTGATCTCCCCAATGGGGACACATACAGCAATATAAAAAACAAAACAAACAAAACAAAGGGTCTATCCGTTCTCCATTCTATCCAAAACTGATAAAATAGGTTTTGCCTAGAAATACACTCAAAATTATCATTAAAACATTCAATGTCATTTTGAACACATGACTAAAAAGTTATATACACTGAGTGGCCAGATTATTATGATCACCTGACGTTTGTAGGCAAATTAGCTATAATTTTGCGCTGAAGTTGCTAGAGGGCCAGACCATTATAAATAGGGAAGCAGGTTGTTTACCACGACAGTAGAAGTTATTTTTTTCTGAAGATACGGGTAAACAACGCGATTTAACAGCCTTTGAACGTGGGATGATTGTTGGCGCTCGGAGCCATGGAGCGAGTATCAGAAAAACAGCAGCATTTGTTAAATGTTCAAGAGCAGCTGTTGTTAAAGTGTTTCAAGACCGGTCTGTCAGCCGCAAATCTGGGTCTGAACGTGCCAATTCAATGTTAGGTCAGAACGGAGAGTGGCAAGATTGGTACAAGACAACAGAAGGGCAACAGTGCATGAAATTACTGCAGATCTTAATCAAGGATCCTCTCTACACTGCATCGTATGGGATATGGAAGCCGAAGGCCTGTTCAAACACCTTTGCTGTCTGCAGTTAACAAGATAAAACGTCTCCAATAATGTGTTATATAGAATGTGTGTCATTGTTAATTTGATTGAATTTGCATAACAATAATTATATTGTATATTTATATAGCACCATCAGTTTACAGAGCACTTTTACATGCTGTACATACGTATGAGTAACTGCACTCAAGGAGCTTTAGACAACAGCCAATTAACCTGCCAGCATCTCTTTAGAGTGTGGGATGTAACAGAGAGAACATGAAAACTCCATGCAGATATTGTCCTGTCCAGTTTTAGAAAAGGGAACCTCCAGTGCTGCAAGGATTAAATGCTAACCACTGAGTCATGTGCTGCCACTGTATGCAATCAGAACATATACTGTACACTTGTATTATTATATAGTGTATTCTTCATAAGAAAGCTTTTTGGTTTTTTTTAAATAGGAAAAATTGAAAAGAGAATTCAAAAGAGGGTGAAGTCTGAATGGGCCACTCATGAATTAATCACTTGTTTACTTTAGTTGATTTATAAAACATATCATTCTTCCATAGAATCTATCAGTATATTGAACAAATTATATTGTTACTTGCATAACCAGAATTAGAATTATGTCTTTGTTCTGTCACTGTCTTGTGAAATGTGGCAAAATTGACCTCCCCAATGAATCACCCTTCTTTTATCCTCAATAAATATTTGTAATTGGTAGATTAACACTGAGCTCTGTTCTTATTGCTGTTAACAAGCCCTCCCAAATCCTTGTCCAACAATGCAAATAATGAAGTATCAATCAATGAGAGAGAGAAACATGATTGTTCTTAATCCACAACTGCTTAAGATTGTCACAGTGAGTCTTTGAGTTTTAAAAACCTATCCTATCAGTCTAGAGTCAGTTTTTCTGGACGGTGCCAGAGATTAAACCAGGTTTCCTCTGCTACTGTGTTCCTACATGGCAAATTTAAATGTAAAAAAACCAAAAAGGCTTATTTAGTAATATGGTGTCTAGAGCAAAGATTTGTGATAACTTAAAAATTTGCCTTAACAAACCTGACTGCTGTAAATTTCTAAAAGCTCATTTATAATTATTTACAAAGGCTATTCCATGTAGGTGCCCTTTAGAATGTTTTTGGTAAAGTCTATTATCTCTCTATGGTATATCTAGAAACGTCATAACTATTGTCATCGCTTTCTTCCTTGAAGTCCCACTTAAGGGAGGTACAAATTACCCTTGCAGTGCAGCACCCTCCCCAACCACACATACACACACGCACACACACACCTCAAGGATTAAATGCTCACTAAGTCTAGGGTAGGGGAATAAGGTGTAATACTCGCTCCAGTAGGCTCCCTCCAGCAGTATGACCAGTTCCCTGAAGCCTGTTCTCCAAGTACAATGCAGGGCAAATAGTACTGCATTGTACATGAGGACACGCAGGGCTCGTCCACAACCCAGAGTGTCAAAGAGAAGCATACCAGCGGTTAGGGCAGTGAGGAATACAATAAGAGCAACAGCATTTTTCTCTGCCCTCTAGAATTATTGATCATTTACCCTTGTAGTATGGAGGGAGCCACTGTAGGGTATTTGTTTTCCCAGAATTCAGTTCATATGATACACTTGTCATATGCTTAGAATAAGAATGCAATACATGAAAGTCAGAGAGAAATTGGAATTTCTAATCTCTAAGAAATGACTCTGTTGACTTACTAAAGCCAAATAGACTGTTAACTCTGCAAGGGAATTTGCACTTTGTGGGGGAAGTTTGCGCTTAGCTTAGTGACAGTGGTCACTTTGTAAAGAATACCCAATCAAGTAGAAAAACGGTATTTTGGCTTGAACGTAATTGGTGGAAGTCATCAGAGTTTCATATGGGGGTTTAGTTGTAGGTTTAGGTTACTGTGAGTTAGTGTGAGAGCTAGTGTAACGTTTAGGGGTTATAGGGGGTTATTGTGAAGGTTAGTACTAAGGTTATTGTTATAGTGGGTTAATGTGACGGTTGCAACTAGAGTAGATGGTATTTATTTAGTGTGAGGGAGAATCCAAAAAGGATAAACAATCTAATCACACATGGCCAGGGCTGGTATAGTGGACATGACGATGATCTAATGCACACATACATATGGCTTTATTGACTTGCTGTGTTCTGTAGACTTGTGCATCGTCAAAAAATGTGTTTCATTTCGGAATATCCGTTATTTCGTATTTCGTCATTCGTGTCCGAAACTCAATCCGGATTCGTACGAAATACGAATTTTCGTTAGTTTTGTCACATTTTCGTAACTGTACGAACATTCGTTATGATGAAGTTGAAAAGCAAAAATACCTTTGTTAATATAGGAGTTGATGGTAGTTTTTTTTTTAATCCGAAATACGAAATTCAGATCCGAAATCCGTTAACGGAATTTCGTATTTCGGATAAAAAAAAAACTACCATCAACTCCAATATTATTATTAACAAAGGTATTTTTGCTTTTTAACTTCATCATAACGAATGTTCGTAATGGAACGAAAATCCATTAACGGAATTTCGTATTTCCTGCCTGTATTGTAATGCAACCCTCAGCAGCAGAAGAGAAAACCTCTTAATGGTCAACCAAACAGTCATTTTTTTTTTATCCAAAATACGAAATTCTGTTAAAGGATTTCGGATCCGAATTTCATATTTTGGTTAAAAAAAAATCTTGTCATGTTGTTCAACCTCAGTCACAGGGGTAATATTATTAGTTCCCATTTCAACAAATTCGGATCCGAAATTCGTTAACGGAATTTCGTATTTCGGATACATTCGGAAACTGCAATTCGGATTTCGGATGCCTCCGAATTTACGAATTTCAGGAAATTCGTACGAATTTCGATTCGTACGAAACGATTCGCACATGTCTAGTGTTCTGTGATTCATCATGATCTGTGCTCATGCTCCCTTGTGTACAGACAGTATTGTTCCCCATACAAATGTTCCCCATACAAATGAGTGAAAGAAAGTTAGGACCCCTGTCAGGTTTTATTTGCAGTGTGCTCCACTGGGAAAGTTTCTCTTCACATCATGTCCCAAAGACACAACAGGAAGTGACAAGAAATCTCTCCAGTAAGGTGAAGCGCTCTAACAGTAGTTATCAAATAATTGCCCCCTATTGTGAGATTTCCCATGCCTCCTATTAAATCTAAAAAAGTACAGTTTTAGATTTCCCCCTTACTTCTCCTTCCCTTCCCCTCACCTCTAACTTGCTTATAGCGTTCACTATTAGAGAAAGTAAAAGTGAATTTTCCAAAGGGGGACAAAACTAGCAATACAAACTTGACAAAGTTGCAAACCCTTCCACACTACACAAAACTGGAAAAACATTTTGGCTTGAATCTTTCAATTTGGATCCAATTCATAATCATAAAGAATAATTACCATTTAATGTTGAAAGAGCCTCTCAACCAAGGCGGGGCTGCACTTGTCACAGACATATAACCTAGCTCTTGAACGAGACTGTAGTACTTACAATTGATTCTCAGTATGAGTTGCAGTGTCTCTAAGTGGTTCCGGTAATTTACTTTAAATATTTGCAGAGCCATGAACATGCTTCAGTCTTATTGTGGATTAGGTGTACTGTACTAGTCTGATTGAGTATTCACAAGAAGTCAATTGTTACACTCTTTAATTACACTGTACAGTGTCTTGTTAAACTTTACATCACTCCATCACAGCACAACACAGAGGTTACAGCAAGGGACAAAAAGGACATGGGAAATATAACGCTACCAGGATTTTTAAAATGTTGTGGGAAAAAGTCAGCAGAAACTAATGTAAGTCATTTTCAAATCATTTATCTTCTATACATCCTCTTAGTGTATTTATTAGGTTTTATCTAACTAGTTTAAAGATTGTATCATTCTGTGCTTTGTGATCTATAAATATGACCTTCCTTCCTTACATCCTTTGCTTGGATTAGAAGGGGGAAAAAAGTCTTAATCTTGATTTAAAGGATAATATTGGCAGGCGTGTGTTGCAAATAGCATCTAGAGGAGCTGGAGGTTTCACACCCCAGGTTATGGATACAAAGGAACAGATTGTTTCCACAGTGGGCTGTGCAAGGACCCAGTGGGGAGAGAAAAGGGGGCTTTTTAGAAACCAGTCCAGACCTCGTATATAAAAGTCTTAGAAAAACATTTATTCAAATACGAAATTCAGATCCGAAATCCGTTAACGGAATTTCGTATTTCGGATAAAAAAAAAACTACCATCAACTCCAATATTATTATTAACAAAGGTATTTTTGCTTTTTAACTTCATCATAACGAATGTTCGTAATGGAACGAAAATCCATTAACGGAATTTCGTATTTCCTGCCTGTATTGTAATGCAACCCTCAGCAGCAGAAGAGAAAACCTCTTAATGGTCAACCAAACAGTCATTTTTTTTTTATCCAAAATACGAAATTCTGTTAAAGGATTTCGGATCCGAATTTCATATTTTGGTTAAAAAAAAATCTTGTCATGTTGTTCAACCTCAGTCACAGGGGTAATATTATTAGTTCCCATTTCAACAAATTCGGATCCGAAATTCGTTAACGGAATTTCGTATTTCGGATACATTCGGAAACTGCAATTCGGATTTCGGATGCCTCCGAATTTACGAATTTCAGGAAATTCGTACGAATTTCGATTCGTACGAAACGATTCGCACATGTCTAGTGTTCTGTGATTCATCATGATCTGTGCTCATGCTCCCTTGTGTACAGACAGTATTGTTCCCCATACAAATGTTCCCCATACAAATGAGTGAAAGAAAGTTAGGACCCCTGTCAGGTTTTATTTGCAGTGTGCTCCACTGGGAAAGTTTCTCTTCACATCATGTCCCAAAGACACAACAGGAAGTGACAAGAAATCTCTCCAGTAAGGTGAAGCGCTCTAACAGTAGTTATCAAATAATTGCCCCCTATTGTGAGATTTCCCATGCCTCCTATTAAATCTAAAAAAGTACAGTTTTAGATTTCCCCCTTACTTCTCCTTCCCTTCCCCTCACCTCTAACTTGCTTATAGCGTTCACTATTAGAGAAAGTAAAAGTGAATTTTCCAAAGGGGGACAAAACTAGCAATACAAACTTGACAAAGTTGCAAACCCTTCCACACTACACAAAACTGGAAAAACATTTTGGCTTGAATCTTTCAATTTGGATCCAATTCATAATCATAAAGAATAATTACCATTTAATGTTGAAAGAGCCTCTCAACCAAGGCGGGGCTGCACTTGTCACAGACATATAACCTAGCTCTTGAACGAGACTGTAGTACTTACAATTGATTCTCAGTATGAGTTGCAGTGTCTCTAAGTGGTTCCGGTAATTTACTTTAAATATTTGCAGAGCCATGAACATGCTTCAGTCTTATTGTGGATTAGGTGTACTGTACTAGTCTGATTGAGTATTCACAAGAAGTCAATTGTTACACTCTTTAATTACACTGTACAGTGTCTTGTTAAACTTTACATCACTCCATCACAGCACAACACAGAGGTTACAGCAAGGGACAAAAAGGACATGGGAAATATAACGCTACCAGGATTTTTAAAATGTTGTGGGAAAAAGTCAGCAGAAACTAATGTAAGTCATTTTCAAATCATTTATCTTCTATACATCCTCTTAGTGTATTTATTAGGTTTTATCTAACTAGTTTAAAGATTGTATCATTCTGTGCTTTGTGATCTATAAATATGACCTTCCTTCCTTACATCCTTTGCTTGGATTAGAAGGGGGAAAAAAGTCTTAATCTTGATTTAAAGGATAATATTGGCAGGCGTGTGTTGCAAATAGCATCTAGAGGAGCTGGAGGTTTCACACCCCAGGTTATGGATACAAAGGAACAGATTGTTTCCACAGTGGGCTGTGCAAGGACCCAGTGGGGAGAGAAAAGGGGGCTTTTTAGAAACCAGTCCAGACCTCGTATATAAAAGTCTTAGAAAAACATTTATTCACTAAATTGTTGTATACATAGTCTAGAACCAAGGAATAAAGTACAAAATCAGTACTGATTCCTGGGATACAAACAGTAACTTCACACGCGGCAAGAGATCTGGTTTATATATGTCCCTTTAATAGAACTTCATGACCCCTAAGTGTACCTCACCGGCTGCCCGTGATCCCTGAGGAGTATAGCGTGCTGTTCTCCGACGCGATCCCTCCATCTATTGTTGTTCGTGGCGGTTTACCTTCGACAGAATCAACCTCCTATATGATTTCGTTGCAGCTGCTTCATGTCATCTAGTTTTTGTTGCTTTGATTATACATCTGGCGAGGACATACATGAATACAGTTCTCCCGGAGATCTGCCTTCTTTCCCCTGAAGAAGCCCCTTCTGGGGGCGAAACATGTAGGGACCTATAGGAGCGTTTACATCATCTGAAAATAAGTTACCGTATATCTCGTAACCGCACGGTACTGTCACCTAACGGTGAACCTGCATATTCAATATGTATTTTTATTAATGATATATATTTTTATTGATGACATGATTTTGTACTTTATTCCTTGGTTCTAGACTATGTATACAACAATTTAGTGAATAAATGTTTTTCTAAGACTTTTATATACGAGGTCTGGACTGGTTTCTAAAAAGCCCCCTTTTCTCTCCCCACTGGGTCCTTGCACAGCCCACTGTGGAAACAATCTGTTCCTTTGTATCCTTAATCTTGATTTATTATGGAAACTTTTGTATTATAGTTTGTTACATCGAATTGGAATGAGTGTTTAATGCATATTACTGTCATTTTGCTTCATGCACTAAATGTATAAATGGATTAGTTTGAAGAGAAACAAAAGTAAGCTAAAATAGCGGAAGAATTTCTTGTCTTCAAAGACGCAAAACAATAGGTAGGTGAATCTAGCAACATTCGCTTCCTCTGATTTACCCAGATTTTGATTGCCATTTGTTCACTACCCTTAACATAGATTATTTCAACTTACATCATCTATGTTCCTTGGATCTTTACATGCCAAATACATATCAACCACTACTTTACAACAATTGGTCAAAGGCTGCATAATTGCAAACTATGAACAACAAATGTTTAAAACATCCACAAAAAGCACAAAAAGACAGCAAAGCTGGTTTACTAAAGGAGTGGAGAATCTTCACTCACACATTTGTGTGAATATTCACTTCGATTATCCAATCATGTAAAAAGCATATTCCTGTTCATTTTGAATACCAAATCATATGCAGGTGCTTTTCACGTGATTGGATAACTGTTTTTTGTTGCTGTTGGTTTTAGTATTGAATACTGTAAATCATATAATAAATGTAACTGGCTTCACCATTTTTTTTTCTTTTTCAGGATAACACAAGTGTGACAAGTACAAATGAAAATTCAGAACGAGAGTTTTGGTCTAGCAAAACAGATTACTTGCTGTCTTTGGTGGGGTATGCGGTAGGACTTGGAAATGTCTGGAGATTTCCATATCTAGCATACAAACATGGAGGAGGTACTTTGAAACATGCTGGTTGCTGATTAACGGATTGGCATAGCACATTTGTAGATCAATTGAAATTTTATTTGTCTTTGGTTTGCATTTATTTCAGAAATATACAGTACTGTGCAAAATAGTTTATTTAATCAATTAACAAAATGGAAAGTAAATGAACAGAAGAGAAATCCAAATCAAATCACGTTTTGCCTTCAAAACAGCATTAATTCTAAGTACGCTTGCACGCAGTTTTTGAAGGAACTTGGCAAGTAGGTTGTTTCAAACATCTTGAAGAACTAACTACAGATCTTCTGTGGATGTAGGCTACCTCAAATCCTTCTGTCTCTTCATGTAATCTCAGACAGACTCTATGATGTTGAGATCAGGGCTCTGTGGGGGCCAAACCATCACTTCCAGGGCTCTTTGTTCTTCTTTACGCTGAAGATAGTTCTTAATTACATTGGCTGTATGTTTGGGGTTTTTTCCTGCTGCAGAATACATTTGGGGCCAATCACATGCCTCCTTGATGCCATGGCATCTATAAGGAACTGTTTGTATTTCTTAGCATTGAGGACACCATTGATCCTGACCAAATTTCCAACTCCATTGAAAATGCAGCCCCAGACTTGCAAGGTGTCCTCAATGCTGAGAAATACAAGCAGATAATTATAAATCATGCCATACCAACAGGGAGGTGTGTAATTGGCCCCAAATGTATTCTGCAGCAGGACAACAACCCCAAACATATAGCAAATGTAACTATGAACTATCTGTAAAGAAGAATAAGAAGTCCTGGAAGTGATGGCTTAGCCCCCACAGAGCCCTGATCTCAACATCATAGAGTCTGTCTGGAAATACATGAAGAGACAGAAGGATTTGATGCAGCCTACATCCACAGATGATCTGTTCTTAGTTCTCCATGATGTTTGGAACAACTTACCTGCCAAGTTCCTTCAAAAATTGTGTGCAAGTGTACCTAGAAGAATTAATGCTGTTTTGAATGCAAGGGGTGGCCGCAACAAATATTGATCTCATTTGGATTTATCTTCTGTTCATGTACTTTCCATTTTGTTAATTATAATAATAGTAAAGGAACATCTTCTCAGCAGGTAGAAGGCAGAAAAAACTAATGAACAAAAATCTTAATTGGCTGGAGTTAGGATTTAACACACCCCTGCTGGCATGGCCTAGATGTTGCAATCAATAATTGGATCTGTTGCATTGCTGTTATATCTTATATGTGGTGAACCTAATACTGTAGCAAAAAATGTTACTTAAACACCCAGCAAGCCTGACATACAGGTTATTAATTACTGTCTGCAATTCAGATGTTAGAACTGATATACCAACAAAAAAAAAACAGAAAGTTTATATTCAAATGGTTGTAACAATGTGTGGGAAACAATTAACATGCCGCTGTTATCTGTTTTAGGTGCTTTCCTGATCCCTTATGTAATAATGCTGGCTCTGGCAGGCTTACCTTTATTATTTTTAGAGTGCTCCCTAGGCCAGTTTGCCAGCCTCGGTCCCATTGAAATATGGAGAATTGCCCCTTTATTCCAAGGTAAGCTTGAATTATCCCACTTTTCCCTGTCATTAGGAGGTCCTGTTAAGTCAAGCTTGATGAAGGGCACCTCACATAAGAGAGATATTCTGATCTGAAAAAAATATGCAGCAAAACAAAATGAAGTCAAAATTCCTGATCACCCTTGTTCTGGATAATCAGAAAGTATTGTAGCCTGTGTGATAGACAGGCAATTTGCATTTTGTAGAAGGAGGTCACCAGTGGCAAACCCACATATTTCTTTTATGACAGGTGTTCTTCAAGCAAGCATCATTTATAAACAATAATGAGTGAATAAATAATGGTTTAACATTAAATAATGATATGTATGCATTAAAGATCAATACGTAAGTCAACTCCATCGTTATATTAGCTTTGTGTAATCTTTTACTCAGCAGAACTGTGAGACAGAGGGGGGCACCACTGTGAGATAATCAGGTTCTAAGTTATTGCACAGTGCTCTTATTCTTACACAAAGAGCTTTCTGTATGAAGGAGAAGGCAGAGCGATGAACTTCACAGCGTGGTAGTGCTCTTCAGTTGTCTAATCAGTAGGTTAGGGGTGATTGGGTGTCCAAGCAGCATTGCTTAACTGCAACTGAGAAATGTGAGACCACAAATTGTTCTTGGAATGTTTTCTTTTCTACTTGAGTTTAATATCAGCAGGGCCGCCGTCAGGGGGATACGGCCGATATTCAAGTAAGGGGCCCGGGCCGCCTGAGGGGCCAGAGAACCTTACATGAGTATCGGCCGACGGCTGTACATGACTGGCAGGATCTGTGCGAGCCTCCGGTGTCCCCCTGTCTCCCCTGTAGTGACTGACTGCACATTAGGTTTTTAAAGATGGTCGCCGCGAGTAGCTCTCTGCCTGAGATGCAGATCACACTGATTCTCCACTGGACATCAGGAGAATCCCCAAGTGCCACACTGGACCCCAGGAATTCAGCCCCCCTTTCTGCAAAACAGGTAAGCCGGAGAGGGGGACACTTTTTTTTATTAACTATTGTATTAGTTGTGTGTGTGTTTTTATTGTGGGTGTGTGATTTTTTTTAAATTAATGATGCTGTCTGTGTGTGTGTGTTTTTAACCACTTCAAGACCAGGTGTTTAGACCCCCTTCACAGATCGAGAGAGCTCCTGGCCGGCCGTTTTTTTACTACGGCCGGCCCGGAGGCAGTTAATGAGTGTGTGATATGTGTGTGCTGTGTGTGTTTCATTACATGTGTGTGTTTTTTTAACCACTTCCCGCGGGTTCACGTAAATGTACGTCCTCCGCTGGAAGTGGTTATAGCAAGAATATGGCTGCTCCTGCAGCCGTGTTGTTGGTACCGTTTTAAGGCCTGTACACATTACTTGCAGTGCGTTCCGGCTGGAACGACCCCGATCACTGGACCCCGGAAGTGATGTGCATCTCGGCTTCTTTAGGGTCCCTAGGTAACATTAGGGTCTGAAAGACACACTACATTGCATTGCACCGGCTCACTTTTGGCCGGGCAGGAGGGGGCGTGGTGGGCCATTGAAGTGAATGGCCATAGCCAAGCCCTCTGGTTGCAATGCGATCTCCCACACGGGATCGAAGGGCACATTGTGCCTGCGGTCCGGTCCACTGCGGTGCGTTAAAAATGCTGCTGCACTATTTTAACGGCACCGTACCGGACCCCAGGCAAAATGTGCCCTGCGATCCCGTGCGGGCGATCGCATTGCGGCTGGAGAGTGTGGCTATGGCGCCATTCACTACAATGGCCCGCCATGCCCCCACCTGCCAGGGAAAAAAATGCAGTCGGCATCAATGCGATGCACTGCGT